ATGGACTCCAGATTTATTAATATGCACATTACTTCAGCTACAAGACTTTCAAAATCGAAAAAAAAAAACATCCTCCAGTCAATCAGACTCGAGAAGAGACCCAGGCACTCTTAATGATTTATGTGGAGAAGAACATTTGAGTGTTTGGGGCCCACTGATATTCCCTACATTGTAGCAGCAGATATCGCAGGTATAGTAGCTGCTGACTGAAATGCAATTCACATTATTATTATTATTATTATTATTATTATTATGTATTAGTTATTATTTACATATTTTATTTTTACTTAACCAGAGTCTAGAAGCTTCTAAAAAGTGCAGAGTAATTATATTTGGGGAGTATATTTTGATACCAAATGGGGTTTATTTTTCTGTTCTCCTGCCTGGCGTCACAGCTGGATTTTAAAAATAATTCAGTTATTCAGAAGCTTATATATAAGTAGCAATATTTTGGCAATATTATTAAAGCTTAGTAGATCAGATTATTAGGTCAAATGTCTCACTTTGTAGTCTGTTAATTTTTCTGAAGACAATAACAATAACCTTTCAAAGGCCTTCTTAGTTTGTCCATTGAAGCAAACATATTAAACACTTTATTGTTTAATAATTAGCTTGAAATCAATGAAAAACTAAAAAAATTATTTCAGGATGGCAAAATATGTGCTGGCTCCGCTGCATTAATTAAGCGAGGACGCTGGGGCCATTGCTGTGACACTCACCCCTCCTTCTTCGCCCTGATCCGGCTGTGGGACACGATCTTGTCATAGGCTGAGGAATCCACCCTGTCTAGGACAGACAGCACCACCACCAGAGCAGCTACAACCAGCAGCTTCATCCTTCCCTTTCCTGTTGGCAGGACTAAGAGGAACGAAATGAGAGCAGCCCGTGGAGCGCAGCCTTATATACTGCAGGAGCCCCGTGCTGGGAGGGTGGTGACATTCCCAGCCTCTCCCAGTAGCACCCTCCCCCGCCTGTAGGACCCCAGCAAGCCTGCACCCCCACCTCCCTCAGCTGAAAAGCTGGAATGTGGAGCCCCCTTCACTGTCGGACATCTAGGAAACCTGGGTACAGTTACTGTCATGTCTCAAGGTCAGTTTTATGTTCGTGCGACTGTGTGGAATTCAGGCGATGAAAAAACCATATTGGGGGTGTGAGACTGATATGGGTCTAGTTTCCCTTCCTTCCACATCCGCTGACACCTGCTGACTGGTCCTTTCGCTCTGCCCAGGTACAGAGGTAAGTCATCCAGAAACACTATGACTGGTCTCTCCTATTTACCGAAGGCCGGACCAACCCAAACTTCATCAGCGATGAAATGAAACATTTTGCTTATAAGGACCTTTCTGGGATGAAAGTTAAAGAGGTAAAATCCCCCGATATATGATCCATGTGAGGAGGGCACCCCCTTTTGATGAAAAGAAATCGGTACACTCTGACAAGTCAGTCCTGGGAGGTGGACAGTGGATCTACTGGAGTTTAAAATTTAAAAATAACCTCACACATCCAAATGCATATTTTCCCATTAAGTTATAAGTCATAATAACAACAAATCTTATAGTCATACCGTTTTATTTATTTTTCAGTGTGAAATAAGGTTGTTTAAAAGATGGGATATTTGACATATGTGTGTTTCCAGAATGTAACCCTCAGAAAATTGAACGCCTTCTGTATTTATTTAAGCTGGTTCTGTGTTACTCCTTTTCTCTAAATATGTGATGCATCAGTGGCATGGCTGCTAAAGCATGGAAATTAAAGCACAGTATCTGAAATCTGTATTTTGCGGTTATATGTCTTTAGACATGTTTTCCTTGCACTTCTGCAATGGATGAAAGTTTCTAGCAATACATGCTATGTGCAGTATATGCAGTATATGCAGTATAGCATGCATGCCTTATTATTAACTGCTAAAATTACTACGAGGCAAAAAATGCTGAGCAGAGCATGCAGCAGGGACTAGTGAGCCAGTGGCCACTTTATTAGGTACACCGTCTCGTCTTCTGCCGCTGTAGTCCATCTGCTTCAAGGTTCTATGCGTGTTGTGCATTCATTCTGCATACCTTGGTTGTAGTGAGTGGTTATCTGAGTTTCTGTCTGCCCGTTCTTCTCTGACCTCTGCCATCAACAAGGCAGCAAGGCATTTCGGCCACAGAGGACCGCTGTTCTTTCTTTTTCGGCCCATTCTCTGTAAACCCTGGAGACTGTTGTGTGTGAAATCCCAGATCAGCAATTTCTGCAGTGTTATAGACCAAAAAAACTCGACACCCATGCAACACTCAAAGTCACTAAACTCACCTTTCTTCCCAATTCTGGTATTTGATGTGAACATTATCTGAAACTTCTGACCTGTTTCTGCATGATCTTATACATTGTGCTGCTGGCGTATGATTGGCTGATTAGATATGTGCTTCAATTTGAGCAGGTGTACAGAATAAAGTGGCCAGTGAGTGTATAAGTTACATATAAGCAGGTCAGACTGGGATTAAAAGTCAGCCCTTGGCATATTTGCCCATGCAGGCCCCCCAACATTCATGCCTATGATAAAATTTGGGGTGGGGGGTGAAAGGGGTATGCCAGATGGGCAGTGCACATCAAATATATAAGTAACATGTAAGTTGCATTATATAAATATGCATAATACTGTAATAGAGCCTAATCATACAACACACCAGCTTGTGGGGGCAGTTCTGTACCTTCTCCTCAAGCTTTGTTTAACAACTTTTATGCAGTATTACTTATCCAAGGTGAATTATTATGCCATTTAACCAGCATATGAAGGTTCCTCAGAGAAAACTGGGCTGGAACTCCTGAATGAGATGGCTGTCTTGCGACTGCTTGTTTGTAACCTCAAAACCGGGGGAACAAGCAAAAACACAAAGGTGCACAGGCATGGAGGACAGAGGACTGATGTCAGACGGGGTTTCCCTGACTGTGTTGGAGTGACTTGTTCATTTAAATACTTAGAGGCAGAAATAACAAACACCATTGTAGAACTGTATGTAAGATCCTAATACACTCAAGCTATTAGTAAACCTGTATAGCAGTATTTATGGAAACTCAGGACACATTGATATTATTTTTGACAGAATCTTATAATAATGTTTTAATAAGCTATTCACCTCCTTCTATACCTGCCTTTTTGGATAGGGGCACACAACAACTCATTTACTGGTTGCCAGAACCAGCCAATGTAGCTACTGAGGAGCAGATATGCGAGAGACCAGTGGATGAAGGCAGCCTCGCAAACCAGGGTTAAAGCCACAGTACTTACCCGCGAGGGGAGGGGGACAGTATGTGACACAGCCTCTGTGCCTGTGATCAGAAGGTTGCCAGGATAGTCACATGTCCCAAACAGTCACATGTAACAAATAGCAAGGCCCAAGTACCACTTTTCTATTCTATTGTTGTCTTAGTGTTGTCTCTGAATGGCATATGAGTGTTTTGAAAGGGCTACAACACTACCAGAGAGACTGGAATTTACAAAAAGAAACTGGCTATAGTAGGAGTTACACTTCGCTGCCAGTGCACATTTCCCATATCAGCTTTCAGTCATCCCCAATGAAAAACATCGGACAGACCCCCACACTCCTTTCTACATACATTAGTATCTTAGCGTCTGAGTATTATAGGCTTTTGTTCAATTTTACAATTAAAAGCAAATGTACCCAAAGACAATTGACTTATGCGAATTGCTATGATGTAACTGATCAGTCCCTCTGTTTAACGTTATTTGCATTAATTTTTAAGCTACATGCTCCATAATAATGAAATTTTTGGCACAATCCCCTGTTCAAATTTTGGAGCGATTTTATACTGGAAAACCATTATAAACAAAGAACATAAAAATAAAATTACAAAAATCACATGTTTGTCATTAAGATGTTTTGTCCCTGGCCAGCAGAAAAAAATTTATGTTCAACCTTTGCACAACATGTTCAAGTACAGTTAATGTATGCAATTGATTTAAACCATTATAATGGGTTACAGATTCAGCCCTCGTTTACTGAATGCCTCCCTTCTATGCCTTCCAGTTGCCTTTACTCTTTGGGGGTTACCATAATAGTCTTTAATCCAATCCATAACTCAGCCTTTTACCTGATCCCAGAAATCACCCTGTAAATGAAACCACATAGGCCTACTTTACAGACCATAAGCTGCGGATATCCTTAATTTCGGTGTCAATTTTCACATTGTTAATATCCCGTCTAGTTATAAAATATTATCAGTTTATGTTCTGCTTAAAATAACTCACCCTGTTTGATCATAATGCTCTACTGATTTATTTGTGAAATAGGGGTGTTCCTAATCCTAGGGGGTGTTCCACGAAGCAGGATTTCTTGATTGGCCGGACAACTTGTCGGATTTAAGGCAGTCTGAGCTAAATATAAGTAAAGCCCAGACTACGTTAAATCCAAGAAGTTATCTGGCTAAGCAAGAAATCCTGCTTCGGGGAATACCCCCCCCCCCCTCCCCCCCCAATTCTCGCACTGTCATTGTTCCACCATAACTGAGCTTGATTCAGCTACAATAAAATGGGCGTGGCCCTGTTATTAGCTGTAATATATGGTGCAGACTAACAAGAAATTTTTAGCTGCAAACAAAACATTTCAGTCCATATGAAATTACCGCAAATAGTCAAATGCAACGGAAAGCACTGGCTTATCTGCATCGAGATGGCAGACAGCAGAGCTGGCATTGTTCCCAGGTAGTTCCAGTTTAATGTGTTTGTCTTTTAGCAAATGTGGTTGAGTTGGACATAGAATGAAAGGAGCAAAAATGTACTGTGTACTGTGCAAGACATCCTGCCAGGGGATTAAAACAAGAACCTGCCGACGTCTGTTAGTAATTCTCTCAACGCATTAGAAAATGTTTCTGTCTCTGGAGAGCAAGCAATGCGTCTCCCCACCAAGCAGCACGGAATGAGCAATCACCTTCGATGGGATAGTTTGTGGTTCCCTTAATATTTTTCTTAGAAAAATGACAAAAAACATTCTAGTGTTATAACCATTTTATTACATACATGAAGATCACAGAAACAAGCTTCTTTACTGGAGTCTCTTGCTGTCATTCCTCATTGCAGCATATGTTGGTCTTCGGTGGATTTCCTTACTCGCACACACAAACTTCACAATAACAAGATGATAACAAAAAATTAGAAAAAAAACCTTAAGAGGGTGGTTCAGTATACTTTGTGTGCATTCCTCTTCATGTTTTGGATTAATTTGTTTTATTATTATTTTTATTAATGTTTGTGTAGTGGCCGATGCTTAGAAGTTATGAGTGGATGTTGTGATTCGGGTGTGTTTGTGTGAGGAATCTCACTGGGGGTCAGTACTCTCAGAAGTGTTTGAATCGCTCCCATATGCTTTGCATCATATTTTGCACGCATAGAAACTTGCCTGCCTTCAGTTTGCCTGCATGCCAAGGCGTGTAGATCAGGGTGAGGATTTACAGTATACATTGCTCTTTTTTTTTTCAAGTCTGCGCAGGCTGTAGAGATACTATAAGCAACACTCTCTCCCTCAACTTATTTTCCAAGAAAACAACTCCGAAACACAGCTTTCTCGTCCGTTATAACTGCACATGTATGATGCACGTTGTGCAGAGATTGTCAGGGGTGTCCCAGGTAGATCACATGTGGATCTGATCTTCCGTTTCTGTGAGCTTCCCGTAGCAGATTCCTGCCACACTTTGCAAACTGAAAACATATAAAAGGCACATTTTCAAAGGGAAGGTCTGATTTCCACATGCTAGATGCTCACAGTCTTTATCTGCAACATTAATAGAGTCAGCAAGACGATGCATCAGCATGGTCCATCTCCGCCTTTCCCTACCTCTCTTCCAGCTGGGACTCGACATCCAATCAGCCCTCATTGTTTCCATTTTCCCGCTCCTGTAGGTCCCCTTCAATGGAGCCACAGGAGGGCAGCACTTGGCGAACATCTGGAAGTCTGCGGGGATTAGAGTTCTCATGCACGAGGGCACCGTTGTGCAGGTTAACTTTTCTCCTCTCTTGACCAGCAGGGGGCGCTGGAGCGTTGTTGAGTCCGCGGTGAGTCGGCCCCCACTTAGAGCAACCATCCCTAAATTTTTCTCCTGGGAGAACTGAGTCATTCCCTTTCATCAAACCCAGAACATCGTATCGGAAACTGGAAATGTCTTGTTTCAGTTCCTAAAAAAAGAGAATAAGATGGGCATTGTTTCATAAATAAAGCCAAGCATGCCCTAAAGCACTGGTCATCAACTGGTCCATTGTAACTGTCTGAAACACCCTAATGCCATCCCCTCTCCGGAATTGGAAAGTCTATCTAGGAGGACATGCCCAGGGGACAGCAAATTCAGTGAATTTAGTGATTAATTGTCATTATTGACACACCACAATACACAGTGCCCAACAACGAAATGTGTTCTCTGCATTTAACCCATATGTGACAATGTGACATAGCAGAGGGCAGCTAATTCAGCGCCCGGGGAGCAGTGCTTGGGGGCGGTACCTTGCTCAGGGTACCTCAGTGGTGCCTTGCTGGTCGGGGAATATAAAAATATGGAGTCAGTCTGAGTTTATCCCAGGATGCCCAGGGCAAAGGAACACCCTGGGCACAGCAAAGAACCAAGGGGGCAACTCATGCAAGTGATGGGCATTTCCTAATAAATAAAACCAAACGTGCCCTAAAGCGGCAGATGCTGTGCAGAGGATTCAGACCCTAAGCCCAAAAAATATACTGCAATACTGATGCCATTCACCAAGTGTGAGGTCATTCCCTGGCGACAAACCAGAATCCTGGCACGCGATAAACCAAACGTACCTTGAAGTTCTCCTCTGTCAGGCCCTCCTCCTTTTTGGCGTCTCTGATCATAGCAGCCACATACCTTTTGATCAGATGTCTCATCAGATCCTTATATCGTGAATAAAACGGTTAAATTAGCAGCAGTGTGTAGCTCAAGCCCACAGATTTAGGCAAACACTCAGCTTGGATTCTTCACTCTTTACATAAATGTATGTTGTATATTTCAGTGGCAGATATCAAGTTATTAAAGAAGCATGAATGGACTGTATTACCCACTGCTTGCTTAATTACTTAAATGTGAGACTGTTACACTCATCATGAAGCTTCAGTCTTTCCCAAAATGGCATTTGTTATTAGTATGAAAAATATGCTGGGCATATCTTAAAAGTCATAGAAAATATGACAGTCAGTGGTAAAAAAAAACATACAGTATTACCTGATACTGATTATTTGTTCTCATGATTTCAGATCTTTGTCGCTGGAGAAAAACCATGACATTTGTCATTTAAATGCACATAATCTATGGATTAGCAGTTATTAATGAGGGTAGCTAAGGAATTGCACTGCTGACTATAATAATTATGGGGCAAAAAAGGTCATGCTCTATTATCGGCAGAAAGATATTCCAACTACTAATAGCAGAAAAGTAATGTTACACAGTTCAGGACAAGTAATCTGTGATGACAGGTAAGCAGAGAGGAGGCCGACCCCGTAATGCGGTAGAACAGGCGTTTATTTAGAATACTGGGTGCAAACAAAGCCAAGGGGGAGATCCAAAAGCGAGGTCGAGACGTAAGCGGGGTTTCGGCAGCCAGTGAGGTCAGTCCTACACACAGATACCGGACGAGACGACGATGGAGAGGGAGGAACAAGGACGATCAGGAGCAGGAGGGTCAGGAGTGCAGGACAGGGTGGGCAGGCAGGGTAGACAGGAAGGGGCAGGTAGGCAGGAAGGGGCAGGCAGGCAGGGTAGACAGGAAGGGGCAGGTAGGCAGGAAGGGGCAGGCAGGCAGGGTAGGCAGGAAGGGGCGGGTAGGCAGGGTAGGCAGGAAGGGGCGGGTAGGCAGGTCAGGCGAGACAGCAGGGCAAGCGGGGAAGACAAAAGACAGAGAAATGCTTGATAGAGTCCCTAATCATGGCAACAATACTTCGCAATGATAATGCAGTTTCATCCGCTGTAAGAGGCGGAGCGATTAGCGGGGAATTGCCTGCAGCTGTCCTGCCCCACCCATGCGGTTAAACCACTATATATATTTATATATATGAATATTGTACATATTAAGTTGTACTGAAGTAAACAAAGACATCACTGGAGGACCTCACCTCTGCGGCAGCGTCGTTCTCTCTTCTTTTTGATACTGTCCTTTTGCATAAGTGCTTCCTAATCCATCTGATGAGGTAGCAGATAGATTTGGGGCTGGGAATTATATTAAAGGGGGAAGGCAGCGTTCCCCCTTCCTCGAAGTAGCTCATCCACAGCTTTGTGCGTGCAAATTTCCATTCGATATCTGCGTGGTCCTGTGTGGTTATGGAGTAAAAACTACACATGATTACGATCAATCTCAGACTTCCTGGAACAAACAGTGAAGCTGACATAAACCTGGATAATATATTTCCTTATATATGGATTAGTTACTATATAACAGGGTTATTCAAATCACAGTCCTCAAGGTCTAAGCTCTGCTGATTTCCCAGCCTTCCTTTACCTGTAAACCAGGTGTGAAGCCTCTGGCCAATCAGAATCAGTAATTATTAAACTAACCACTTGGGAGAACTGAAAACAAGGCCTAGATTTGGAATTGAGGTCCATATTTGAAGAACCCTGTCATATAATTAAAATTCAGTCACTCTGTCCATGGAAGTATGACATCTTTGAATATAATTTGTATTTTGTTTCCTCCTAATCACATATCATACACCAAAATCCATGTGCATCCACTGTTCATATTTTAAGTAGGCAAGATAGCCAGGAAGCTGAAGATTTAACACTTACAAAAATTTGCTGGTAAGAGTTGTTCATCATTGCTATTAGCATGTTGAGGAGCACCACCAGAGAGATGACATTGTAGGTGCCAAACATTGTGGCACCCACAAACTCGGTGAACTTGTGTTGCGGGATGACACTAGTTCCGTTAAGACTAACCAGCCCAAACACGGACCAGAAAAGAGACTGCAAGGTCTTGAAGAATCTAAGGAAAGGAAAATGAACACAATCACGGTTCACCTCACACCGTTGCCTACTGAAGATTTCAGGGTATAATTGTTGATAGCTGCACCCTTTTGACATTGTGATTGTTCAGTAAACAGATAGCAGGAAGAGCACACTCACGTTGTGAAGACAGAATTTGGGTTCTTGTAGTAGAAGTAGAGCTGATTAAGGCCATTGGCAAACGCAAACAGGACCAGGCAGAAGATGAAAAGGAACTTGAGGATGTCGAGCAACATGCGGCCCAGCGAGATCTGCAGCGGGCCCAAGTGGGCGTTGGACGTGAAGAGAGCGATGAGCCGCAGTGAGCTGAAGATGTTGGCGATAGCGAAGAGGGCCTCGGCCATTAGGGTAGGGTGCAACATGTCCCATGTCTCCCTCTGCTGTGTCTCGTTGTACTGCAGGGTGACAGTGGCAACTATTAGTCAGATTAAAAATAAAGCTTTAAATATTATCCACATGTTAATTTCCCAGCCATTACCAAAGAAATGATTTTTGTGCTGATATTCTAAGATACAACATATTCTACACTGATTTAAACTCTTAATTTTACATGCTTAATAAATCGCTATAGTGTAATATAACACCTATTTCATTCTTAGTCTGTACAGTACATAGATAATTATGAGGGTTTGTCCCCAGCCTGCATCAGTATGTTTTAATACTTAAATTTTTTATCGTTGTTGATTTCTTTTCATTATTATTAAAATTTTCATTTAAATTTATCTTATTATGCATTATCACTTTTAAGTCATATCTTAAAACTCTTATTTTGTCAAACAGCAGTTGGGTTGGTTTCATGTTTTAGTATGTCTTGTTAGTTTTAACTCTTTTTCTGTACAGCACTTTGAATTAACTATTGTTGTTCTTAAATGTGCTATTTAAAAGAACTTCACTCAACTTGATAAATGGCCACAATCTTAAGGGAAATGGTGGCCAGGTACAGACTATTCATGACAAAGTCCATAAAATTCCACCAGTCGTTGATGTAGTCTTGTAGTCCATCAGTCCATATCTGCTTGATCTCGGTCCATACAAAACCTAAAAGTGCAGATTACTGACAGAGTTAGCTGCAGGTTTCTAGTACTAATCATGATGGCAGAGTTAGGTTATGAGATTCCCATTCTTCATTTTACATCACCTAAGACCCAAGGGAGGATCATCCACTCCACAATGGTGGGCCAGGGTCCCATGATGCTAGGGTCCGTGCAGACCATGTGCTGGGATGTGAGCAGGAGCAGGAAGAGGAACGTTAGGTAGGAAGTGGTGTGGCAGATGAACTTGATAAAGGGCTTGCGGATGAAGAGGCCCAAGCGGCTCCGGGGGGCCACCAGGTAGCAGAGGGAGAAGAAGGGAAAGAGGAGGCCGATGAAGATGCAGGTGAGGAGCTTCATGAACCAGTGGCGCTTCCTCCAGCTTGGAAATTCGCCATACCAGCGTGATGCCAACAGCTGCTGGCAGTTGGGCTGAGCGACAAACTGACACAAGATGATGGAGACAGAAAGAGAACAAAATGAAACATGACTTTGTTTCAGCAAAGTCCATTTAATAATCAGGTCAGGTTGGGGAGCATGGACTGGTGCAGCACGTTACTGCACACACCACACAACTAAACACCTTGGGATCCCGGTTGGCAACCCCCCAGGCGGACACATGGTCCAGTCCTACCCTCCAAAATTGACAGTCTATCTGCCTCAGCCAGGTGTTATGTGGGAGTTCCCCACGAGAGCTGCATCACCCTCGGGGAATCGTGCCACATGCCATAGTGCCGTATGCTCCCTCAAAATGCAGGACTCCCTGAGCAACCACTCATTCTTACACAAAGTCAAACCAGCAGTACCCAAGGATAATCTAAAGAGTCACAGTACCCACGTCTCAGGTCACTGGATAGCATCCATGTTTCGCAGCCATACAGCAAGACAGGAAGCACAGGACTCTAAAGACTTGGACCTTCGTCCACGTGCAAAGATATCGGCAGTGCCACACACCCCTTTCCAGCAATTTCGTGACACCCCATGCTCTCCCTGTCCATGTACTGACTTCCTAAGAAGAGTCACTAGAGACATGAATGTCACTGCCGAGGTAAGTGAACCTCTTGATGAGTTTGGCATTCTCTCCGCAAACAGACACGCTGCTAATGGCTGTGCCCAAGAGGTCATTAGAGGCCTGGATCTTGGTAAGCAAGCAAGGACCTTACCCAGTACTGAGAGTAGTATTATCCCCCTGTAGTTGCCGCAATCCAAGCAATCACCGTTCCCTTTACAAATAAGGACAACAAGTCCCATTTTCAGGTCAGTTAGGCTGACACCTGTCTCCCAGACAGAAACAAAGATTGCTTGCAATGCCAGGAGGACAGTCTTACCACCAGGCTGGAGAAGTTTACCCCAAATACCACAGATCCCTTCAGCCTCCCCTCCTCTCAGCTGATTCTCTGTCTGTGCAGAGATTGTGTGATTCACAGCTAATCAGAGGATCAGCCTCAACAACTATGGACCCAGAGGTGTCCAACATCCTAGCTGGAGGGTCAGCTTTAAACAGCTGCACAAAGTAGCCAGCTCAGCAGGTTACAACTGCAGTGTCGTCAGAATGGACTGTTACAGTACATTATGCTCCCTGTCTGCAACTCTCCGAGGAACAGATTCGAAAATGCATAATGCTTCGATCCCTCTGTAAGCAGGATGGTTGTTAGACCATAAATGGTGTGTCACTTGCTCAACGATTCCTCTAACAAATGCCCCCTTACCTGCCCTCAGAGACCTCGCAGCCATCCTACTCAGTTCCCAGGACAGACTGGAGTTCCCATCAAGCCATATGCTGTGACTCCTCTCGAAAATATCCAGGGTGCCTTGCAAGAAGACCTTCTTCTGGGCACACCGGCAACACCAACACAACCCTCAGCAACCTTCAGGGTCTTGTCACAGAAAGTCTCCCACATCAGCAGTTGTACCCAAATCTGCAAGATCCTCACACAAACTGTGTGCAAGCTCATTAGAAACAGTCTGATCTTGGAGTCTGATGCGGTCCAGCTTCATTCTCCTAGTACAGTAAGTAGTAGCCTACTGGACCTATGCTGGATCTTCATAGTAGCAAAAACAAGCCTATGGTCAGAATTAATAAACTGGGCACTTCTGTAGACCCTGCAGTTCTGTAGGAGCCACCAGTGTCTGCCCACAAGGATGTGGTTGATTTACTTTGCTGCACTACCAGTATTGGAGTACCAAGTCCAACGATGTGACTCAGGGCTCGGGAACCAGGATCCAGCGACCTGCAGCCCCTGACCTTTTGCAAAGTCAAGGAACATGGAGCAACTTTCACCATGGTCATCAGACCTATAGGGACTGATACAATCCTCATAACCAGCCCTGTCCGTGCCTGTGGATACATTGAAGACACCCATGACCAGAGGAATGTCAGCTTGTGGGTCCCCATCAACCACAGAGGGAAGTTGCGACTAAAATATTTGCCTCATCGAGACATCACTCAACGCGCCTGGAGCATACACTGAGACATCAGATAAGGCACCCAGAGAGTGCCTTAATCTGAGTTTCATAATACGCTCATTGAAAGGAGCGACATTGGACAAAATTGGGCTTAGCTACCACAACAACAGCTACCCCCTGAGTAAGGCAGCCATCAGAGCAAACAGACCAGTAGTAGGTGTACTGTACTACATCTGGCCACTCCCCAGTCTGCATACCTCAGAGAGTGCTGCCACTGAAATGTGGAGTTTACAAAGCTTCTATGACAACAGAAGAAGATGGTCATCTTGTTGGATAGACAAGACGTTCCGCGCACCTACTCTAACGAGCCACCTCAGATAGGGACCCGAGTCCTGCCATGCAGCAGGCGACGCCTCAGCACCACACCAGTTCCAATCCCCAACAGGCCTGACCCTATTAGCTCTCCAGCAGTTTAGACTTTTCTGGGGATGAGGCTCCCCGGGGCATTCCTCCATCCCCCTCATGGTGCGTTGCAGCCTTCCTGTGGGTGGCTGCAGCAGAGCTAGTCCTGTGGAGAGCAGAAAAGTGTCCGGTCTGCCTGGATGGAGCTGTGTGAAGTTTTTATGGCGGCTGGAGTGCCAATCCCACCACCAACCCACAAATTTTTCCCTGCAAGTTGGGGGGCCGCTATCAGGGTAAGATGCAGTGTAACGTCATATTTGGGTACCCGTGTAATAAAGCTCCTGATTGCTATACTGCACTCTGAGAGCTGCTGTTTAAGCAGAAATATTTCTACATGACTTATATTTGTAGTTGTTAGCTTGGTAAATGTGGCACTGGAGTCATTAAGCAAAAAAGACAATCCTACCCACACAAAAAGCAACTAATTTGAAATGCTTTAGAACAGTGTTTCCCAATCTGGTGCTTGGGGATCCACAGTTGGTCCATGTTTTTGCTTCCTCCAAGCTCCCACAAAAATGTGGCCTGTCTGTGGATTCCTGCGAACTGGATTGGGAAGCACTGCTTCAGTGATTAATGACACAATTATTCTAACCAGAATAAAAAAATAAAAGGCAGCCTTAGTGCACATCCCTTCTCTCAACCGTTACTTGCAGTATTTTCAGACTAATGCTGATGAATAACATCTTTTAAGAGCAATTGTGATTTGTCATTCTGACTGTCACAGGAAAGTCACTTTTTCTGTGCAGTTGTTCAAGTAAAAAAAAACAGTGTGACTTTTAATTTCTTGCATAGGCTGATTTAACTTTTTCTGTGACTCTGTACTGGAAAACGATTATAGAAGATGGGTAGAATTTTTTTTATGGAATGAATTCACATCGCAAAGCTCACCTCCTTTTGGTAGTACTTAATGGCCAGCTTCAGTCGTGCTAGATCGTTGCTGCTCTCATTATTCAGTGGTGTGACGTTGTCCTTGAAGTTTAGCACTATCTCCAGTTCGCGTGAGCTGCGTGTCTGGTCCAGCAGGTCTTTGGCGAACATCTTGCACTGCTGCGACAGCTCCTCGTACTCTGACTTGAACTCAATCTCCATCTTGCTCAGTTCCTTGAGCTCCCAGCTGAGGTGGAAGGCAGCGATGAAGGGATCCTCGCTGGAGAGGGCGATGAGCGAGGGGCTGGCCAGAGCCCAGTACAGGTTCAGGCGGGAGCGGGAGTGGCGCAGGCTGTCCACGTCGGAGTTGGACGAGCACTCCGGGCAGTTACAGCGCACCCCGTGTGGCTGGGGTACCGATACCCCCTTTTGCAGCAGCATCTTGATGATCTCGTAATTGTTGGTGTGGGCTGCCAGGATGATGGGTGTGATGTCCGGTGTAAAGTAGGAAAGCTGCTTGTCCAGCAAAATTGGAGGCACCTGTTTGCAGAGGTAGAGAAATTGAACTTCTCATTGCTCTGTGCCAATTCATCTAATCCAGTGTTTCCCAATCTGATCCTTGGGGACCCACAGGCAGTCCAGGTTTTTTGTGGCAGCTGGGAGGGAACAAAAATGTGGACTGTCTGGTGTGGAGCTTGGAGGAAGTCAAAGCATGGAGCACCTTGGAGTCCCTGAGGACTGGGCTGGGAAACACTGATCTAATCTCATGACACTCTCATGAAACCCATCCATTTCCTGAAACTGCTTGTCCCATTCAGGGTTTCGGGGGTCTGGAACCTATCCCAGAGGCTATGAGTGCAAGGAAGGCAACACTAACCTATTGCAGGGCACACTCACACACACCTATGTGCAATTTGGCAACTCCAGTTAGCCTCAGCATGTTTTTTTTTTAGGGGGGGGGGGGGGAGAGAGAACCAGAGTACTCAACACACATGGAACCCTGGCAGAGACTTGAACCAGAGTCGCAGGGGTGAGGTGACAGTGCTACTCACCGCACCACCATGCTGGTGCCCCCCAAAAGCCCTTTGTTCTTGTAAAAAAAATAAGGTTTAGACAAAGAACCGCCTGCATATTGTTTCATAATAGTTTGTCAATTAGTATTGCATTTTATTTACTGAAAAAAGCAATTTTATCGTCTCATGAAGTAATAGACTACTATGCCATGGAGTATAAGTCATCTTTTCATTAGAGGACCATATCCAAGCTTCACCATGACATCAGAAGCTATTTTATAATGATTATTTTGATGTCCCATGAAAGCGACAATATAGTACCTGGTCGTTTTTAGAGAGGCTCATTTGTGCATGGCCGTATGCAAGGATAGGTTATATTTCCCTACAGAGCTCAATGAAGTACCATCACTCACTAGTCAAAAGTTACAGTAAACATCAACATAAAGACAATGCGATTTACAACTCTTGTTGGGTCGAGGAAATGGACACGGAATCATGAGGTGTTCTACTGCATGGGTGTGTTTAAATACCTCTCCAGCAAAAGTAATCAGTGATTTAGCTTTCAGGAAAATTACAAAATTGAAGAAGAAGAAGAAGAAGAGCTGTAGTAGTATTTGTATACATACATACAGTATTGTTATTTCTGCACAAATATATTATTCACACATTTTACAAGTATATTACATGCACTGATCAGCCATAACATTAAAACCACTGACAGGTGATTGATTATCTCATTACAATGGCACCTGTGAAGGATGCTGTTATGTATTAGGCAAGTGAACAGTCAGTTCTTGAAGTGGGCAAGCACAAGGATCAGAGTGACTTTGACAAGGGCCAAATTATGATGGCTAGATGGCTGGGTCAGAGCATCTCCAAAACAGCAGGTCTTGTAGGGTGTTCTCGGTATGCAGTGGTCAGTACCTACCAAAGGGAGGGCCTACCAATGAAACCATGCGTCCTGACATTTATGCAGATGTGACTTTGACATGTACCACCTAGATAAACATTGTTGCAGACCAAATACTGCCCTACAAGTCAGGAGTGCTTCCCTGATGGCAGCGGTCTCTTTCAGCAGGATAATGCATCTTGCCACACTGCAGAAAATCATTCAGGAATGATTTGAGAAACATGAAAAAGAGGTCAAGGTATTGACAAAGCCTCCGATTTCCCCAGATCTCAATCCGATTGAGAATCTGTGGGATGTGCTGGAGAAACAAGTCAGATCCATGGAAGCTCCACCTTACAACTCAAAGGACTTAAAGCATCTGCTGCTAATTGACCAATTGACCTCATTATTTGCAAACTTTTCCAGCCTCCTAGTGCCCCTGTCCCAACTTTTTTGAGACGTGTTGCTGTCATGAAATTCAAAATGAGCCAATATTTTTCACTAAATAGCAAAATGTCTCACTTTATACCTTTTACATGTTTTATATTGTCATGCCCCGATCGTCCATTCCTCTCGTGTGCGATGCCCCCTCACTAACCCCATGTGGATTCATGTGTGTGTATACAGGAAAATACTGGTGGATACAAATTGATATCCACCGATTTCCCCAGATCTCAATCCGATTGAGAATCTGTGGGATGTGCTGGAGAAACAAGTCAGATCCATGGAAGCTCCACCTTACAACTCAAAGGACTTAAAGCATCTGCTGCTAATGTCTTGGAGCCAGTTACCATAGGACACCTTCAGAGGTCTTGTGGAGTCCCTGCCTCTATATGTCAGACCTGTTTAGGCAGCAGAAGGGGGGCCGACACAATATTAGGCATGTGGTTTTATTGTTATAGCTGATCAGTGTATAAGCATATATACACATCCAATCCAAGCTGCACCCCAGCCCACCTGGGACAGGCTCCAAGATAAACGGATAGAAGACGGATGGACTTTACACCTGAAACACCAGCAAATATATAAACTACTGTAAATGCTTCAACTACACAAAAAAACCTAAGCTATTTATTGTGAATTTCATCTTTACGCTGTCTATATTCACCTTTTAGTCAATATTATCATCAGCATTTATAATGTGAAATTAGAACCATTAAATGGCATAAAATAGACCAGCTACAAAATGCTGATTTGATAACAAGCACTTTCCGAAACACGCAGGATGTCATACACTTCATCATTTCTGTTGTCCTACCTGCTTCTCTTTGCTGGTCTTCTTGTGGTTGAGCAGCAGGTCCACGGCCCCCACCACCTCCTTACGGATGGCGTGCAGCAGGGCGTCCCCCACGTACACGTTGGAGCTGAGCAGCAGCTCGATTATCTCCAGGTTCTCGTTCTCGATGGCGATGAGCAGCGCCGTGCGGCCCAGCGAGTCCACGCAGTTGATGTTGATCTTGAAGTAGATCTCTGCCTCCTGCAGAGCCTGCCGGACACTGGCGTAGTCACCCCGCTCCACGGCCCGCAGGTACGCTTTCTCCATGGGCGACAGCTCTGCTTCCGTGCGCACAATGCGCAGCGGGATCCGATCGTGGTGGTACCCATTGTCCTTCCTCCGGTAGTATAGCTGTTGCATTGCTGCTAATGCATCACTGCAGAGGGTCAGAGGCAACAGGAACAGCACTGGCAAGGAACCGACGCTGAACTGAGATGAGTGATGTAAGAAAACAAGAAGATGAAGGCACAGAAAAAAACAAACCACTGTTATTTCACTGATGCACTTATGCTGAGATGCAGAATGAATCTAACCCCATTATCTCGCAACCACTTCTGGCGAAACACGAGAAGAGGCTCTTATCTGTAAACCAAAATTGCGAATTCCCTGGTGCACAGGCAGCCCGCGTAATTATCTGCTTACTTGTGGGATTGAGGTGTGGCTCCACTGTTGGCATTACTGAGCGCTAAAGATCTTAAGGGACACAACCCATCCGGAAGCTACTCTGGCTGAATCACCACGGATCTGAGGAAAGGCCTTTCGGAATACACTTCGACAGCCCTAAACTGATTTACATGGATGTAAAGAGTGGACAAATGCACAGAACATCGGAAATTCATAAGCGAGTGAAGCCAATAGGATGTGATTCAGTGAGCAGCATAATGCTGCTAGGACACACCAGGCAGAGTCATCATAGCATGCAGACTGCAGGTTACCTACCAGAAGAAGAAGTTATGTATCCAAAATATACAAAAAAAGAAATATTTGAACATTATTGGTGAAGGAGAAAGTCTAAAGCATAGTGGAATAACTGGTGTCAGAGGCTCTGTATAGCTCAGCTGGGACAAGTTGGAATATATTACAGCCCCAATTCCAATGAAGTTGGGACGTTGTGCAAATTGTAAATAAAAACAGAATGCAATGATATGGAAATCTCATAAACCCATATTTTGCTCATAACAAAACATAGAAAACACATCACATGTTTAATCTGAGAAAATGTATCATTTTAAGGAAAAGATAAGGTAATTTTTAATGTCATGGCAGCAACACGTCTCAAAAAAGTTGGGACAAGGCCATGTTTACCACTGGGTGGCATCCCCTCTTCTTTTAACTACAGTCTGTAAACGTCTGGGGACTGAGGAGATCAGTTGCTTGAGTTTTGGGAGAGGAATGATGTCCCATTCTTGTCTGATACAGGATTCTAGTTGCTCAACTGTCCTAGGTGTTCTGTGTCGTAAGTTTCGTTTTATGATGCGCCAAATGTTCTCAATGAGTGAAAGATCTGGACCACTGGCAGGCTAGTTCAGTACCTGGACCCTTCTACGAATCCATTATGTTGTAATTGATGCAGTGTGTGGTTTGGCATTGTCATGTTGGAAAATGGAAGGTCTTCCCTGAAAGAGATGTCGTCTGGATGGCAGCATATGTTTTTCTAGAACCTGGATATACCTTTCAGCATTGATGGTGCCTTTCCAGATATGCAAGCTGTCCATGTCATATGTACTAATGCACCCCCATACATCAGAGATGCTGGCTTTTGAACTGAGCGCCGATAACACGCTGGGTGGTCCTTCTCCTCTTTAGTCTGGATAATACGGCATCCCTGGTTTCCAAAAAGAATTTCAAATTTAGATTCGTCTGACCACAGAACAGTTTTCCACTTAGCCACAGTCCATTTTAAATGAGCTTTGGCCCAGAGAAGACGTCAGTGCTTCTGGATCATGTTCAAATACAACAACTTCTGTGAATGATAGAGTTTTAACTGGCATCTTTGGATGGCATGCCGAATTGTGTTCACTGATAACATTTTCTGGAAATATTCCTGAGCCCATTTAGTGATTTCCATTGCAGAATCATGCCTATTTGTGAGGCAGTGCTGCCTAAGGGCCTGAAGATCATGGGCATCCAGAATACTTGTCCCTTACTCACACAGATTTCTCCAGATTCTCTGAATCTTTTGATTATATTATGTACTGTAGATGATATTTTCGACCTCGTTGCAATTTTACATCGAGAAACTTTTTTCCTGAAATTGCTCCACTGTTTGTCGATGCAGTATTAGGGGGATTGGTGATCCTCTGTCCATCTTTACTTCTGAAAGACACTGCAACTCTAAGACGCTCTTTTTATACCCAGTCATGTTACTGACCTGTTGCCAATTGACCTCATTATTTGCAAATTGTTCCTCCAGCTGTTGGGTTTTTGCACCACTAACTTTTCCAGCCTCCTAGTGCCCCTGTCCCAACTTTTTTGAGACGTGTTGCTGTCATGAAATTCAAAATGAGCCAATATTTTTCACTAAATAGCAAAATGTCTCACTTTAAACCTTTTACATGTTTTATATTGTCATGCCCCGATTGTCCACTCCTCTCGTGTGCCATGCCCCCTCACTAACCCCATGCGGATTCATGTGTGTGTATACAGGAAAATACTGGTGGATACAAATTGATTAAGTGATGAAACTGATTTACTTTTCTGTACAATAGAAGACTATTGCCACATCCCTCATTCCTGCCTCCTCATTCTCTCCCCACACCTGTTGCTCATTTGTCTTACCTCTCGTTTCAGCTGTTGTGTGCATCACTCCAGCTGCCTCTCGTCTGCTCCCTCATTAGTCGTGTATATGAGTGCCTCCCAGTCCTGTGCTTCCCAGTCTGGTCATTAATGTTACCCCAGTTGTTAGCCCTGTTCAGTTTCTTTAATAAACCCCTCATTGTCTGCCCTTATGCCTGCTCCTGCCTCTGTTGTGTTTTGGATCGTGACAGAATGACTGGACTCCCTAACAATCCCAGCAGTCTGCACCCACACTCTGGCTTGTGTAGATCTATTCATCTGGCAGACTGGATACCCCGAGTGCCCTAGAAATTGAGGGGGTTGCAAAGTCCCTGGGAGACGCCCTCTCTTCAGGAGGAGGATTTCTGCTTGACCTCACCCTGAAACTGAGAGAGAACTCAGTGGTGTGGAGGATCCCTGAAGCAACAGATATTGTCAGTGAGCAACAGGCTTTCCATGCTCATCCCTGGCTTGGACCCCTAAGAGGTGGTGGAGATCTGCCATCTGCTGATTGAGCTACAGGGGGTAATTGAGGTGTCCAATTCTCACCCATCTCTGGAAGTGTCTGAGGATGTGCCCGCTGATTTTCCCATAGCCAGTTGCTGAGGTTTCTGTTGGGGGCTTACAACTGACCACAGCTCTTCCTCTTCACTGGAAGAAAATGCAGTGGAGGCAAGCAGATTCCCTAGTGCCCTGCCCAGGAGATGCCGCCGCTCCTTCACCTGTACCCATTGAAATCCCTGCTGAACCCGTTCAATCCCAACTTAGCCCCACCTGTTTTCTACAGTTCCCAGCCTGTGTCCAGAGGTGACTGAGCTCTTCCTGACTCCAGATATTCCTGCAATGGTCCATCTCCTAAGGTGCTCTGCCAAACCTGGCCCGCTGTCAGTAGCATCTGTCCTGCCAGCCCAGCGCCCGGCCCCGGTGAGGCCGTGACCTTCCTGCAAGTGCCCTGCACTGCTTGTTCCCAGCAGCCCTGGTTCCACACCACCTGCCTCTACAAGTGCCCATCGGGCTCCACTCACCTGCAGAGGTCCCTGCTGTACACTGCTTGTGCTGCTGCTGCTCGCTGGTGGCCACCTGCCCCATTGGCTCCTGCCTGACCCTCTACTGATGTCTAGCCCCAAGACTGACTTTCTGGTTACCGCCTGCTCTGAGAATGCAACGATGACGATGAGAACGATGACCTGGAGTGGGACCCCTCTGGTCTGTTTTGTGGTCCCAGAGTGCATGTGATGGGAGGGGACCTGTCACACCCCTCATTCCTGCCCCCTCGTTCTCTCTCTAGTGTTGCTTTTATGAGCCATACCTGTTGCTCATTTGTCTTGGCTCTAGCTTCCGCCCTCATGTGAATCACTCCAGCTGCCTCATCTGCTCCCTCGTTTAATCGCGTATAAGAGGTCATCTCAGTGCTGTGCTCCCCAGTCCGGTCATTAACATTGCCCCAGTATGTTGGCTCGGTGAAGTTTCTTTAATAAACCCCCCATTGTCTGTCCTTATGCCTGCTCCTGCCACTATGGTTATCATTGGAACAAGTTATTTTGAGATACTATAAGCATAGTGTAAAGTTTTAAAGTTACATTTAAATTTTATGTTAACAAAATATATTAAAAAACAAAAATACTAATATTCTCAGTCTTGTTTTTTAGATATCTCACGGGGTTCAAACAATGGTCACAGTGCTTCTCTTTAGCTTCTCAGCCCTTACATATCAACCAAAGGAGCCACTTTTAGGACATGAATGGCCATTAGTCCATTTCCTCATGGGTAGATGAGTCTGGAGTCCAAAGGAGGTAAACACAGACTTCCTGTTTTGAGCAAGCAGCTTCTGATTGCTGAGTCTTGCTTGAAAATGTTTGTATATGACTTTCACGGGCAACAAGTAAGCCTAGGAGAATGCACTGATAATGCAATATAAAATTCACAAAGCCCATTAAACTAGAAAGGGAGGCTGTCAGAATGACAGCATTGTATTCCCTAGATATACTCTCACATACACACACACTTGAGAGCAAAGCTGTGATGCAGAAAACCTGTGAATGCCTGTGATTTAAACAAGGTTACTTTGAAATCTTTAAAAATATACAAGCAATAAAAAGCATTAAATACATAAACCCTGAATTTCATCCATCTTCCAAATGGTTATCTTTGATGGAATTGCCACAATCAGTGTCACATTAATCAATAGTCATTAAACTCATTGATAAATGAATTTTCAGTAATGTTTCAGTAATGGGTTTAGAAAGTAACCAAAAGACCTGTGAGCACTTTGCTGTAAATGCACCCTGTGGCTATATTTTTATATTTGATGGTACATTACAGGCAATCCCACAGCAAATAAATTTTATAAATCATGAAATTACTTGCGGGAGATAGATGGCCATAGATTAGGCATTACCTGAGGAGAAAAAGAATCTTCATCATGAGCTTGTTATACCATTATGGTGAAGAGCCACTATTCAGCATGGGTGACCTGTTTGACATTACCAATAGGCTTATCAAATGAGAAAATACAACAGAAATGAATGTTTTAAAACTTACGTTTGAATCCTATGTGCGTGCACATGGAAACATTTTCACAAAGAAAAGTGATACAGTATTTCAGTTTTTCAATTGGAAATTTAATGTGAAATTGTAAGATGTGCCTCAGGACTACTACAATAGAAAATAAACCACAAATAAACATTTCTAATTCTTAGAAGATGGAAATCTTGTTGTTTGCTGGATGGTAGTACTTTCTCCAGCAGCTTCACTTTAGTTACGCATTTTTAGTTTTTTGATT